CGGTCTAAAATTTTGCACAGGCACCACTCTAACATATAGCTGACATACAAACTGACCGATCGCAATCAAGTGCTTGTATTGAAAACTTTTTCAATTGACCGGGTATCTTCAAGCAATTCGCTATAATATCCGAAGAAATTGTTGAGATCGTACAACTAAAACTTATAGCTGCCATACAACTGATCGCTCAAACACAAGTCCTTGTAAAGAAAACTTTTTTATTTCTAATGGTATCTACAATTTTGGAATATATTGTTTAGATCGGACCACCTAAGTTTATAGCTGTTTTGAAATATGACCGATAAATATCTGAATAAAGAGCTGTTTATACCCTTTTATGCAATACCTTTTAACAACCGTAATAGGTATTGTAGTTTCGGTGTAGCCGAAGTAAACATTTTTCTTGTTTCTAATGCATCTGACTTTTTCAATACTAACACATTGAACTCACATATCTGTGTTTTACGATTCCAACAAAAATATAATATCATTTAACATTTTTAACCCATTTAAGAAATATATTACCACCCAGCCTTTACAACATCACTCCACGTATTTATTCTTCGTAACCCTCATTTACAGCGCTATTCAGCGTTTATTCGATATATTTAATGCTTTCCTATTCCATCATTATTTCATTGCTTCCGTACACACAATTCAATTTCCTCATTTGCTTAGCAATTTCCCAACTCAAACAGCAGCACACTGTTCGCATTGCATAAAAATTGCTGCTAATGTAAACTCATATTTCCATTAAATATCGCAAAATTGTTGAGTAAAACAAACTGGAAAAGGAAGTCAGGTAAAAGCGATAAATGTGAAAATTTGCGAAAAATCATGCATTCAATGACTTGCATAAATGTCTTTGCTCGTTTAACGCATCGATTGACATCAAAAATATAAATATACTCATAAACATTCGTGCGGCATGACACATGCTACAATTGGCACACATACTGCAAGTCACAACCATTTATCTTGACAAGTGGAAATGTAGAAAAAATAAATTTCAACATCTGCGTTAAAATTTCTGTTTATGTGCGTTCATGTGTATGAGAGTGTGTGTGTGCTTGAACTTAGCGGAAGTGGTGAAAGTTTGCGTCTAAAACCTTCGGAAGCGGTTGTTGAAAAATATTTTAGTGTCTTACTTTTGGTCGGCAGATTTTAATTTCTTACTAAAACCAGGGGGTTTAAGGCTATAATAATTCTACATATTTTTTATATGTCATTTCTAGACAATAATTCTCTACTCTTTTTTTCATAGATGAATCAAGACTCTGGATTAATCGTTTGATTCAATAGAATAAATGAACAGCGTGACGAGCTGTGTCAATTCAGCTATGTCCACCTGTGTGTATATACGCCAGCTCGTCCCTCACTTTTTTAAAGTATCGAACCTTTCTTACCTCAAGGAGCTGTTTATTTGTCAGAATCGCTGATAACAGAGCACTATAACATATATATGGATATATATAAGAAAAACTTTTTTATTAGACGAGATTTCCTCACGAAATTTGGCATGGAATATTATCTAATATAGCTTTACAATCTCTGAATAATGATTTCAGATCGGAACACTATAGCATATAACTGCCATATAAATTGATCAAACAACTAACTTTTTGAACCCTTTAACGCCATGACACCTGTATTACAATTATATATAAGCATGAACGGTTTTTGTGTTTTTAATATTTTTTTCAAATATTTATCTCCATTAAAAGTTAACAAACTTTTCAAATCACGTGACACACTAATAACATGAAAACTTCAATGCGTCTAATTCCACACAGAAACAAAAAAACAAAAACAATTTAATTGACAACTGGTACGTGCCTTCAGTTTCTCTGCAATTAAATAACTTTTAAAGCATTTTATACGCTGCTGTCTGCAAACTTTTCAAAAGCCACAATGTCTGGGTGCATGAGCATACGAGTATGTGAGCTAACCATAGATTCGAAAGCTAAAAAAATTATAAGGAAATATATCTCTAGCAAAAAGAAACAAAGCTTATTAATAGCTTGTAATCCCAACCACTTGTCGCCCACTGTCTGTCGCCTCAAGCAATTTATGTTGGTCAAGCACACACATGTGCACATTTATATATGTGACAGGTATGGCAGAAGTTTGTCACATTTCTATTATGCTGAATTGGAAAATTACTCACAGATAAGTGCTTATGTAACATATGTGTGGCTGACAGTCATTATATCAGTTGTATGCCTTTGCACACATATGTATGCCGGTCGTATGAATCAGTCGTGCTTTCGTGCTGTCTATATATTACGAAAGTTTTCTGACAAATTGACACATAACAGCGAACTACTGACAGATACTATGTCAATTTAGTACATTTATTAAAATACTTACATTCATATGTGAGTAATTACTGCAATAAGATGTGTAGTTGCTGCGGAAAGGTGATTATAATATGTCTGTCTGTCTTCTAATAGCTTTTAAGGCAAACAATTGATAAAACTGTTGGAGTTCCCAATTATATTCATTAATATAGATTACCACAATTTAGTGTTAGACTATTATTAGCTTGGGTGGAGTAAATGAATAAGCCAGCGAGGTTATCTGTTAGAGCTACGTGACGTATGAGTAACATGTGAAATTAAATGGGAAGGAAAATTGTTTCGATATTATTTCTAAGAAAATTGCTATATTGTAATAATTCATCACATTGTATTCCCCAAATTTAAATAGCAGTAAAATATTTGTCAAAAGTCAACATAGAGTTCCAACCCAGTTAAAAAAAATTAATAAATATTTATTCAAAACAAATAAAAATTAAAATTTAGTAGAGAGATTCTGTAATTTTACTGCTTTAAAATGCAAAATTCTCTAATTTGTGAATGTTTTATAGAATATCATACTCTCATATATGCCAATTATATATAACATATGTACGCGTGTATACATAAAAGTATAATAATACTGATTTATAGCGTAGGATATGACCCAGGAATTTTTATAGAATTATTTCACAGCTTTAATAGTAAAAACTGGTGAATCAGGTATTATTTCCTTGTTATACAAATATTAATTTTAATATTCCAACTTTTCTATAGCATAAGTTTGACTTTTAAGTTTCAAAAGAAATTTTTTAAAAAGAAATTAGTATTCCAAATAAAATCTGAGAAAATCGGGGTAAAAAGTCTGCTAAAGGTTTAAGAATTTATTTAGATTTTCAATATGTCATTTCAAGTTGTCTGAAAATATATTTTTTACACAAGTATATGCCTGAGTGCAAAAAACATTTTGGTGATAAGGAACTTAACCTCAAAAGGTCATATTGGTACTAATTAATCATTTTATTGTACTCGGAAGAAAGTTTAACCATACGCTAGTAGGCAATTCGAAATGAATTTAATGAAAACTTTGATATTTTTCATACTAGCTGGAAAAGTTTGGAGAAATTCCGCTTATAAATTAGTCTTTATAGAAACTTACACATAAATACATTCTCTCTGATAACGTTTCTAAAAAGCTATGCATTTAAAACACGACAACGTCAGTGATAATTGTCTAAGCAATTACCTAGCTTTAAATACCTTTATTTAAGCAAGTTTAAGCACTCATTGCCTTAAAATCCCCAAAAATTTATCAGAAAAGTATACAAATCTTACTCTGGCCAACATTCAGCCATTTCCAAATCTTCAAGTCTATTTAATTAACCTTAAATTACTTAATCTAAAACTAAAAAGATTTGGAATCGTTGGGCTTTTGGACAATAAAAGCAACCGACCTTAATTTACTCAATCTAAAACTATGCAAATTTAGAGTTTATGCTTTCGGTTTTTGCAGTGTTTTTAGACAAATAGTATGAATTACTATTAGTTCTAAAGCAGTAAATTTATTTCTTTTAAAATTTGTGGCTTCAAAATTTTAGTTTTTCTAAAAATATTTAATTTTTATTTAATAAAATAAATATTTATTTTCCAGCTGAAATGCCAATTTAATTTGCTGAAAAATGTTATATATCGCGTATAAAAATTTTTTTCATTTATACAAGTATCGAATATATATATAATATATTTTTTAATCAAAAAAAATACTTTTAATAATCCAAAAAAAAATATAAATTGTTATCAGTAAAGAAAATAATAATTTAAAAAATTTTTCCATACATCTTAAAAATTTTGACAAAAACTCTGCTGAGTAGTACCACCCTACATTAGCTGGCATGCCATGACGTATACGCAACCTGCATACACAGCTGTCATGCATGACTCATTAGTCAAGATGACGTAGACGCTGCATTATTCAGAACAACATACATTTATACGTACTACGTAGTAACGTATATCACACTTTTATAATTTAACATTTTTTATATATTTTTTTGGTTTCTTACTTTCGTCATAAGTTTCCAAAAATATTTATGAAAGTTTATTTATAATTTGTACTTGAATTGTATACTTGTAGATATATAAATCTGTCAAATTTTCTATTTAAGGTTTAGCTAAAAATAGCAAAAACTTGCGTTAGAGCAAGTAATAAAAGAATTACGAATTACTGTTATAAAAATATAGTGTTTTCTACTTCCGCCTAAAAATATTTTTGGTTTTTTTTTTTTTATTTTTAGCCAACTTTTGGCTGTGCGTGAGAATTACAACTTTGATTACTTTTTATTAATAATTTATGTTCAATAAGTGTCAGTTTTCACACTTTGCTTGAACGTAAATTTTTTCTCGGCAACAAAAATGTTATACCATACTAACAGGCATTAAGTAAATGTTTTACTCTTGTAAAAATTAACAAATAAATCGAAAAACCAAACACTTCACTTAGACAAACCGCTTGCTTGGTAGCATTAACGCACTGTTTACCTTTTTCTAACCACTATATTACTACAAATTCGTATAGAAACCCCGCATATATGCACTCAAACAGTCATTTGTTGGCAACCCAACCCATTCACTCATTTCACTGCATTTTTTGTAAAATATTTGTTTGTAATTCAAAAATGTAAAAAGTAGAAAACAATGACTCACTGCGTTCGGTCTTTGACATGCTCATCGAACGTTCCGTTTTGCGCCAATGCCGGTACCACGTTTTCGATTGGAAGAACTGCAATAGACTGGAAGTGGTGCTGCGTCCACCATCGTTGCTTTGTTGCAACAGTTGCTGTTGCTGTTGCAGCTTATTTGTTGTTGTGGTTGTCGTTTTTGACGACGTCGTAGTTTTCGTATAAACGGTCATGGTCTCCATACGTTTGGCGACACGTTCAATTTCGGACGAGCGACACGACGATGTGTCCTCTAGCGAGGAGCTGCGCCGTTTCGCGCCACGACCCAAACACACACAGCTACGCAGCATTGTTTTAGGCTAGTGTGGGTGGCGGTGTGTGTGCGAGCGGTGTGTGCGATATACGTTGTTTTTTGTTTATTTACTTTATGTTCTATTATAAGGGGGAATATTTGAATTTTCTCTACTTTTCAAAGAACTTCTGCATATGTTTCGGTGTATGTGTGCATTCATTTATCACCGTACTGTTCTTTAAATTATTTTTGTTGTGTAATTTTCTTGTAATGCTAGTTTCTTTACAACTTTTTTGGTTTCTCAGCGAACAAGGCGAACAAGTGCCACGCAGCTATGTCATTCTTAAGCGCTTTGAGTGACATTTGGAGGTGTGAAGCTTCGACGACCGCATGTATAAACAGGTGGGTGCTTTTGTGGGCCGCTATGGCGCATTGCCACCCATATGCCGTTGGCCGGCCATTGCTTTTTACTTCGTCCACAATTGGGGCGTGAGCTGTTCACACTGACATTCTTTAATTAATTTTTATATTTTTTCGGTTGCATACTGGCTTTATTTTGCTTATATTTTTGACAGCTTTCTTACAACTGTGTGGTTAAATTTAGTAAAAAAAATTATTAAAATATACTGCTACGGTATTAGTAATGTGCAATAGATATTTTTTAAATTCTTTTATTTTTTTATTTTGCGTTTAAATTATAACATCAAAAAATATTTTATTTAAAAAGAAAAAAATTTTAAAATTTTTAATATATTAAAATGAATTATATATAATATATATTACAAAAATTATACTAAAAATTTTTTTTTTAAATTTTGAAAAATTATAAAAATTTCTTAATTTTTATATAGAAGCACCGCCGTTCACTAAATTTAATTTGTTTAACTATTACATAAAATATATTTCATTGCTATTCATTCATTTATAATAATATACATATGTATAGACATTTATCTGCTTGTCGTTTTTGTAAACTGCACGTAGCAAACAAATACCATTTTTCCAATTAATGTCGGCTTATGTTTTAATAGCTTTTTGCCACATGTCAAAGTGGTCAATACTACAGACGCGAAAAAGCCAACACTATATATATGTAAATGACATTTGCGTTAAAAAAAGCGCATTTTGATGTACTTTGTTGTTGTTTATATAAGTTTATACATATTCACGTAATAGGTTTGTATAAAAGTAGATATTAAAATGCTAACAATAACACAATTAAAATTTTGTATTCAATTATGTAGCTACATAGATGCATACGTGCATAATACACACACATATTTTTACACACCACAATTTTAGTCACTCATGTAGATGATCAATATGTCATTATCTATTAATATGTAGGCAGTATTATGCACATTTTTATACAAAATAAATTTTTAATTACTTTTTTATTTAAGAAATTGGCGCAGCAATTTAATTTTCTGTCATTACGGTAGATAATCACTTTAGATATTTCTGTCAATCACTCACATTGCGGTATTTAACTCATTAATTATGTAGTGTTGCGTGGGAAGCATTTACTGTCAGCTGAAAATAGAAGAAAAAAAGAGATGGATTATAAAAAAAAAATACTTTTTAATACGCTGTAAAGATACATACTTCTGAAGTTATAAAACTTAAGTTACTAAGCAAAACTCAAGTTAATTTTATTAGAACATTCGAGACTCGAACCAACATGTCAAATTACTGTAAAACAAGCATATTCGCAGAGTTTTGCTACATAGGAAAATATCTACAATGGCTAAAGTCGACTTAAGTCATTTTTTTAGCTTAAATTTATTATATTGCTATTCGTAAGTAGTAAATTACTTTCACTATTATGATAGATAATAGATAATAGATAAATGACTTAACTTTCATAATATATCTGATATGGAATAATATTTATTATGGTATACATTCGAGGAACCGCTACACATATGATCTTCAACAGAAAACTATTTATTAAAAATTGTCTGAAAGAGTTAGGTATGATTGGTCGACATTTGACTTTTAACTCACTTCTGGCATAAGCGATGATCGGTTCCCCAAGAAAGTGGTAAGTCTCAGTGTATGATGTATGAAGTCAAAATCTATACTTTGACCTACTAATTATAAAAAAGGAAGCTTGATATCATAAAAATCTGGATTTGATCTGATCTGACTTCCATTCCTAGCTTCATTAAGAATATTATACAGTAGTCCAAGTGCAATCCCCACCTTAAGTGTCAGCTATTGAACCAAACCTAAGTTATATCTTCAAAACACATATACCATACACATTCAAAGCACAGAGGTGTCCATAATAAGTTCCCTAAGTGAGAGAAAAGTAGTGAGTTTCCTCAAATAAATGCGACAGGTCATGGATGAGTCCGCTATTAGTCACAAAAAAGCGTAAGAATAATGCCGTTTTCGGTATTTTTAGATGGTTTGGATATTATATTTTGTTCGACTATTTTTTCTGAAAATACAAGCTACACATTTTATATACCGTACGGTTACAAAAGGAAACTAATCGTTTTCATGCTTTTACGGACTACTCAGCTTTTCTACTTTAATCACTTTTAAATCTTACCACAATATTTCACAGCTAATCAACCTCCACTCATACCAGCCAAATAAATACACAAATTGCAAATGAGTTAAAATGGAGTCCTACGAAATTACAGAATTGATCTCTTAAAACAGTGACAGGAATAATAAATAGTAAGGAACAGCTTAACTAGCGAACATAAAAGCAATATTACCCTTAATTCACACATACAAGCAAAAATCCATGCCTCTATTTACACATAAATAAATACCTTTAGAATTTTGTGCACCATTAACCTAGAAAACAATTCCAACAACATTTTTGGCGCACCACTTAAAAGTTAGAGCGTCAAATAGAGCATAACGGCGAAAGGTTTGAATGGTGGAAAAAAATCAATACAACTACCAGCCAAAACATAAAAAACAAAAGCAACAGTATAACAATGAAAATTGTTACAAAATTTCGAAAACATTTGGAGCAAAAATTTTGTGTGTGGGTGGCGTGCGAGCGGATAAGGCAATGCCGTGGGTAATAACGCGCACAAAAATTGAAACGCAAAGCTTTGGGAAAAGTTTCGCCGCTTGTCCTGCTGGCAGCATGAAGAGTTTATCGGCGTTTGAAGCGAAACCGCGAAAACATAGTTGAAAATTTCGTTTTAGCAGAAAAGGTGAAATAAGGATTTATAAGTTGGTTTGAACGTAAGCTGTGAACTGCTGATAAGCTATAGCGCGAAAAAGTGTTGAGAATGAAAGCAAAAGTAAAACATTAAATGCACGCCAACTCACGGCAATAGAAATCATAGAAAAACGCACGCAGCAGCTAATTTAGATACGCGCATCATAGTTTCACAAAGAACTTTGTACAATAGTCCAAGACAAATCCCCACCTTGAGTAACAGCTATCGAACCTAACCACGCAGCAGCTAATTTAGATACGCGAACAATGCATGCGTTGAATGGACTGTTGGACGCAAAAGCAAAAATCGTAATTTATTGTTACTTAACAGTAAATGTGCTTAAACGTAAATTAACAAACTTTGTATTCTATTCAATGAGACTTCTAAGATCAAGGAGTCAAAATCAGCTAATCTTTAGTCTGTCTTCAAGCACACTGTTTTATATGCTTGAGTTGATTCGCTTTCTCGCCAACATGTTTCCACAATGTAGCCACTAGTTCGTTACAAGCAACTTAGTAGTTCCAGTTAGGTGTGTTAGGTGTATTGTTAGCACTTGAAAAGCCTTACCGTACGCAAATATGATTTCCATCGCCTCGAGTTAGATATTTGAAATTGCCGTCTGCTCTCTATATATTGCTAATGTATCCGTTTCGAAGTTTGGAGAAGTCGGTTACTTCTTACATACTCATAAGTTACTATGCCTTCCCTATACCAGTTGCAGAAGCTGAGCACAGTATTCTTCTGATACAATTTTCAAACGCACTCTCTATAAGTGTAGCTTAAGTTTTTTGAAATTACACGTTTCGACTTCACATACATTTTTCCGTTTCAGCTGCAGCGTCCGTTCCTTCAGCACCTTCATAAAAGTTATTTTTCTCTTTGGATCCGAAAAAACCCAAGTATATTCCCAAATGCTCGGAGAGAATGACGTGTAAGGAGAATTATGGATGCCTTTTGGAATTTCGACTGTCACACGTTCAGCCAGATCTGCAGATAAAGCCTAACGGTGTTTTGTAATTAAAAATTCATAATCAAGGGAAGTACGTGCAAGTAGTTCTCTGTTTCGTAAAGCTCCACCATCTAGCAACCAGATAAAATATGTGTATTCCTACCAACTTTAGCGCTTAAATCTTTGAGCACATTTTCAATATGGGTAAAAATCAGAGGAAGAACCTTTATGCGATCTCAGACTTCGCACAAAAAATTAAATACCTTACGCATACTTTTCGACCTACTGTATCTCCCTATTTACCTACACTAAACGCCGCCATCACGCATTCATTCATTGCGTCATTTTCCTTGCGTTGACGGCACGACTTTTGCTTTTCCATATTCCGGCTATTTTTTCAGCCGCTAAACGGAAATGCGATTACCATCGAGCGGCCACGGCCCTCAGGTACATGCTGCGAAACAATTGTTTAGTAAAATTATTTATACTGTCGGTTTGTGTCCTTTTCAACGCACAGGCAGTTAGTCAAAACACATTGCTTGTATTTAGGTTGTGTTTTGATTGAATGCCTATCCACCGCCACGCGACCCCGACAGTGTGGCGGTGGCCTTATTTTGACATTTGCATATTTTCTTCATTTTTATTTTCTCGATTCCTTTTTATGCTCTTTCCTGCCAGTTGCAGATTTATTTTTTTTTCTTTTAACTGCGAAACAAGTATTTTCGCGTAGTGCCATAAATGTGCTCATTATGTTCGCTGTGCGCTGATTAAATGAGCCAAAAATAATTGAATTAAAAATGAGAATTTATGCGTGTACATAAATTAATGTCTTCGTCTGCAACTCGTTGCATGCACATAAAATACTGCTGTCGTCTTAGCGCGGCCAATCAGCATTTTAAGTGCCTACGTTGAAATTTGATATAACACTTGAGTTTCTCTGCTCGCTCTTCAAGTCACGGCCTGTGTGTGGGTGTAGGAAAGGTAGGTGTATCGAAGGTAGTCGACTTGCTGAAATTTAGAAAATTAAGCGTTTTCAGCTTTATACGAACCAAAAATCTTAGGATAACAACAAAGTAAATAATATTTTATAGCTTTCTTGGGAAATGTTGGATATTTGACGTCTGTCAGTGTATAATCGCTTTAGACAAATATTTCTTTGGAATTTGGGTTTTACTTCGAACCGTGATTTCATGCTAACAGATATGATCCAAAGATAGAAAGCGATCACCAAATGTTTACAAATAACTCTGGGCATTTAATAACAACAATGTTTATTTATTCCATATCAAGTGTCTAAAGCGACAGTCTATGCCGAAATGCGTTGTGTACATAACGAAAATTCAACCAGGATACAGAACTGATTACTATTTTCATATCAAAAATCCTAAATTCCTGTTAGGTTAGTTATTATTTTGGGGGAATATTACACTTTTGAGGGTCATTGTCTATGTATAAATTCGCGATTCGTTTATAAAAACCTAACTACTACTAAGCTTTTCATTTCAACAGGAGAATACAATCAGCGCTCACATACACAACTATACCACTAACATTCTCTTATCAATGCACTCACCGCTATGGGCAACAAACGCATCTATTCATCAACCAGCTAACAGACCAAAAAGCCAATAAGCCACAGGCAATGTCATTGTCTACGCCATGGACGTGATCAGCGCCCATAGAAACAGTGGAGCACCGCAACGGCTAATGACTTTATCACCCATTACCATAGTTACGTTCAATTAAGTTTAATAAGCGATAATGCTACCAAAGCAGCGGCTGCATTTGAGTGATAGTCGGATGCACGAGCTGGTGCAAGGATGTTATAAGCAGAGCTTTGCAGATACGTTATGAGCATTAGATATAGCTGTGGTGCACACTGCTATTGCAATTGTTTGTGTGTTAATTATTGTCGCGCGCACGAGCGACAACAACACCAGTTGGCGTATACCAAAGTCAGTCGCTGAACAGTTAAAGCTTACCTAAACACTGGTTGACTGATGCATTTAAGTGGTCGAGGATAACTGGTGGATTGCACGCGCTAAGCTGCTGGAGTAAGCATTTAATGCGGATTGCAATTATTGTAATTATTTAATTTACTAAATATATGGGATATTAATGAGCGGGTGTGAGTAGTAGAGGGATAAAAAGAAGAAATAACGTTCACTTCGGCTGCATTTCTTGCAGCATAAAAGGGTACAAAAAGAAAGAGAAAAAGAGAGAAAGTCAACTACAGAATTTAGATATTTCACCCTCCAGTAGTAACAAGTTATCTTAAAACACAAACAACAAAAAACAATGATTTGCCAGGATATATGTTTTTAACCACTCTAAAATATAAATCAACTTTGTTCTGGGAAGCTGCCTTTATGTCAAAAATCAAAATTCTGATTAGTCCTTCGATCATTGTCTATATTCATTATAGTATTAATAAAATTTTTGGCCTTGAGATAATTTTAAAGAAATATGTTTCTAACCGCCAGGCACCCTACTTCAGATCGGCTACAGAATCTAAAATTTATCTGAAAAATTAATCACTGATATGAATTTTATATTCCGCAAATGTACAATAATTTTATTTCTTTATCAAATAAAATGCTTCTTTACAAAAGCGCATTTTTTTAACTCCATTGAGGGAGGCCGCCGAGATATTTCTTTATTCACTGGATCAATATTAGAATATCAATGTTAGGAAAATATTTTTGAAATAATTTACAAACCTTTTTTGCTCTTGTGCATCATTTTGAGAACACCACAGCCAGAAAAAAGCAAGAAATATGTTCACAGCAGTCATGTGAAAAAAAGCAAGGTCAACAAAAAGTTAAATCGAGCGTAATTTACGACTGCTCAGCTGAGCCACGTCTCAACCTTATGAATTAAATGCAGAAGTGTTCTAGAGGATCTTCTCTGCATTATATTACGAAATAAAATAACTACAATTTCGTTCCTGCAAACCCAAATCGAAAAAAAAACATTAACAATGATTATTGAAAACATTTTTAAACTTTAGTTTCGTAAATTTATTCGTTTTTTATTTATATTATTCTTGTTTTTGGTAATCGAACCCAGCGCATGTTAGAACTCTACTTTTGACTACCTAACACAAACAAGCCGCGTCTATGCAGAAGAGCAGTGCGTGCTACAAAAATTGGTATTTGAATTCCGACAGCTTTAATTGCTTTTTTAATTAATTCCGACATGCACGATTATTTCGATGCAAAGTTTAGTGGTGACACATGCACGACTACAATGCGCCTAAATACACGTGCATACGTGCAAACACGAATAAACGAGCACATTTGTAGGTTATGTGCAAATAGCTATACGTACACACAAAGACATTTTACCAGAACACACATGGATATTCCTAGCAGTAAGCACACTGAGCAGAAAGCGACAAAGTAATATATATATTTGTATGTAGACTAACGGCATACAACTAAGTTACCTTTAGTAATATATTTATGCTTATTTGATGGGTGAGAAAATCAAATTTCCGAAATACATTAAATGTGCAAGTTTTTTATGGCGACTCACGCCGACATAGTGCTTGCGTGTACGTGGAATTTAAGGCACACATACACCTACATGCACACACATAGCGACACGCTTACATTAACGTCAACGGCTGATAGCGCTTTTAACGCCTTTAAGATGCCTAATTTAAATTACATCGAAAATATAGAATACGCTCGGGCGAAATTCTGCCGCAAGTGCTGAAGAGCTAATGGCAAAAGTATTTAAGAACATTTTGCCACCAAATGTGGAGGTTGTTGCGGCAAACTAGGTTGAAAACTACACGCAAGTAATGCTTGAGACGTTGATGGTTGGTGTAATGCTCGCATTTGAAAGGTGATTAGAGGCTGACGCACGAAAGGTGTAGATGTGTAATTTCACTCCTCTAAGTGTTTTCTTAAGGATGTGTGAATACACACACATATACACAGAATATGTGTAGGCAGTAGCACGCAAGCTTTTCGTACGCTGCGTAAATTAACGGTAAAAATTGTGATGCTTTCTGCATCTGTAGGTACATCAAGTATCAGACGCGTGTTAATGAAAGTAATTTACGCTTACCTAGATAAGTGTGATGAGCATTAATGCTTATTATTGCTTGCCACATCACGCAGTTTTGATTCATTCATTGACTATTTGGGGGATGATTCAGTAGATGTACTAATTAGATTTGAAGACACGTCTGCTCAAATGAGACTCTAGAAAATGTGTATACCTAGGTTGTGGCGAATAAATGAGTCTTATCTGTATAATTTTATATTACAGTAATGATCTGAGTTATTGGGTAGATGTTTATATTGTAGGTAAAGATATTAGAAGTAATCATTTTTAATGTGGTCTGTTCACTGATTCTGTCTTCAGTTTTCGCTTGCCATTTTTTTTTTATACACTATCTATAATATTTCTCTGTGGATAGGTCTATTAATATTGTATTATTTAATTTCATAATATAAACACTAACCAAAATTGTCCTACAAATATAATATGTGATTGTGCAAGTGTTAACAGTACACACATTTTTGGCTAACATTTCTCTGTTAAAATGTGATTTTGACACTTAACATTACTAACAGCATTCAAAGCAAACATTTCTTACTAAAAATGTGATTCTGTAAATTAACATTACATACAATATTTTTTTTAACATTTCTCTGTTAATATGACATTTTTTAAATTTCATAGTGAAAATATAGCCTTCTCAGCCTAAATTCTATATTCGTACATATTTCTGATTCTGTGACTTAATAATACATAGTTTCGGCTGCCATATAACGGACCGCACAAAATCAATATATTTGTAAAGATCTTCTTATACTCTTTTACACTATAAAAAAATTTTGGCCAATTTCTCTACAAATATTCTACAACGATTCTGTAAAAATTCTAACAGCCAACATTTCTCTGTTAAATTTATAGAAACGTAAATGAAATAGTATAAACATAAACTGTAAAATAATAATCCTCAGATACTATTTACTATAGTTTCACTGGCAAGGACTTGATAACATTTTACATAACATCAAAAGATATAAAACATTAATATTTTACAAAGCATCAAAATAAAATATTTCTTTTACAGAAAGGCATCATTTTTGTTGGCATTTCTC